GCTAAGCCGTTAGTCACCCATGCTTGACATAGAAAATTTTTTGTACGGAATTTAGTGTTAATCATGATTGTATATATGAAGTGATAAATTTTGTACATTCGACTGGTAACTATTTGGTAAATTAAAAGGCTTAAATATGAATTACTAAGTAAGAACTCAATAGGTCTCGAGCCTTGTGCATTTGTGGGCCCCGCTCACGAGTGCACGGCGTCTGTTTCGCTCTTGGTTTGGGGCGCGACAGAGGTGGAGGAAAATCTGAGGTCGAAAATTAGAAGGAATTGAGGAAGAAATTTGAGGGAAATTTGAGAGAAAAATCGAGGGAGAAGGGAAGAGAATTGGCGAGCCTGGAAGGAACATTGGAGAGATTGAGAGAAAGTGCAGCAGCTTGTAACCAGAACTTCAAGGAAATAAAGCTTGATTTTTCATATTTTTCAAGTGTGCATTGTTAATTTTTTTGTGTTGTTCTGTCATGTTCTTTTTTCGGTAATTGCTTTGGTTTCCTTGTTAAATTATTTCCTTCTGCAACGGATCTTGAGAAAGTTGGAAATAGCCTTTCATATTTTTATCTAATGCACTTAAGTTGATGATCCAAGATAATATGTGTACTGTTTATCACTTTGCGTAATTACCAACATGGCTGTTTTGTTTTCATATATTTTCTTTAATTGGATTAGATTTTTAGGGAGGAAAGGCTTGGAAGATGTGATTAGATTAGTTTAATTAAAGTAATTAAACAAAACCCATGGAATAGTCTTGTGCTCGATTCCGTTTTCCTTGTATGAAGTTTTTTTTTAGGAATGCATTAGATGAAAAAAAAGAAATACAGAAACGAGAGCAGAGGAAAGCTATAGAAAAAAAGAATATATATATATATATATAAAGAAAGAAAGAAAAGAAGCAGAAACGGAAAAAAACAGAAAACAAAAGAAAAAGAAAAAAAAGAAACAAAAGAAACGGGAAAGAGGAAAAAGGTTGATGATGATGAACAGTATTGGTTTAAATTTTCTGACCTTTTTTTTTTTGGGTAGCTATTATTGATAAATAAAAAAATTGAAACAAAAAGAAATAAAATAAAATAAAAACATAAACGGGAAAAGGACAACGATGGGGTTTTTAAAGTTTTTTATTATTTTATTTCTTGTTTTTTTCTTGTTTTATGTTCTTGGTAATTATTATTATTTTCATAAAAATTGAAATTCCCCAAAATTAAAGTATGTGGTAACCATATTTATATGAAAGTTGTGGGGAGCCTAATACCTCCCCCATGCTTAACCGACCCTCCGAACCTAGTCAATTTCTACGAAGACCTTGGTGATCTATCCCACCTCATTTGGATAGATGGCGACTCCATCCATTTTGGCACGTCAACATATATGTAATACCATATTTGGTATACAATTGAGTACCACCAACAAATCTTTCACTGTCTAAGATTTTGGTAGATTTTCTAAACAAAATGTAGTCTCTTTTGCTAATTTCCCATGTAGTGAAACTTGTGTAGCCGTCCATGCATTAAATATAATTGCAGGCTGGTAATGGAGATTTAAATGGCATTTCTAGTTAGTTTTTAATGGGATTGAAAGTCTTTTAATTAGCATCCAATGATGTAGTTTTGGGATCAAGTTTTGTCTCCACATATTTGCTACTTATCCCTTCTTAGCGAAGATGAGTAGTATCGCCAACCCCAAGCTTGGCTAGAGTGAATACTATACTTCGCCAAGTGGGTAACGTTCATCCATCTATGCATACCAAGCTGCTACCCCTTAGTTTATCCCAAATAATCCCCATGAGCTTGGGTTTATGGGTTCATGTTCATCTACATCAAAGGGCAAAATATGAATAAGTTTTTGTTCAAATATAGAAGTGTGAAATATGTAAGTATTCGTACTAAAGAAGAATACTTCTTTGTGTATTGAAGGGGATGGTGTGAACAAATATTGTTGTGCCTTTTTGTTCATTCATTGTAGGAAGCACTTGAATAATATTATTGTATAGGTCTAGTGATTCATTAAGATAAAGAATGTATAATATGGATGTATGTTGCAGTATTGTTTCATTAAGTCAAACGCTGTTGGTCAATGATACCTGTTAACACATAAAAAGGTAGTAAAAATATGTTGTAGATTGGGATTACCGATGATCAATAATATTGCTTGTTTGTGTAGTAGGAATAAAAATGCATATGAGCACCAACCATGTTATATATTGTAGGGTCAACCAAGAATAGCTAGTCATAGCCAGAGAAACAATAGTGGCTAGCTTTGTCCATGGCTAGAGCATGAACTATGTAGAGCAAAGGAAGAGCATTCCCAATAATCTGCCATGCCACGAAGGGGATAAATCTCAAACAAAGAGCATTGATGAAAGCATGAAAATGTATATTTAAAGTGTACTTAACCATTGACATTTGTGGAATTATGGACTTAAGAGTTGTATCTTTTTACTAATAATTTTATAATTGTTCATTTTATTCATGTGTGTAAATTTTTGGTGATTAAAGGTTTAATAACTAAATGGAGAGAATTAAAAGTAAGGACTCAAATGCAAAGGGCCAAAAAGATGAGGGTCCAAGGATTGAATTTAGAAGTTTAAAGGCTCAAGTGCGATTTTCTCCATTTTTATTAAGGAGTAAATTGTAGAGATTAGAAATATGATCATCAACTTGCGTGGAATCCAGGAGTTAGGGACCAAGATTGTTATTTTACCATTAACCAAAATTGCACAAAAGGCCAAAAACCCGACACAAACTATCCCATTAGCTCTTCACTCAAGGTGCCGATACTTTGTTGAGGTTATCGACCCGTTATGAGATTTTAAGCCAAATTGTATCTGTTATAATTATTTTGATGTGGGTTCCACCGCCATTATAATTAGAGTTTCTAAAATCTTATAAATACTCATCCAAGTTCAAAATTGAGAGAGGTGGAGAGGCTATTCCTAGACTTATATTTTCTTCTCAAAAACTAGAGAATTATGTCAAAGAGCAACTAAATTTTCAAGAAGGGTAGGAAGAAGTTCAATTGAGAAATTTGACTTGTTATTTTATTTTGATTTCTTTATAGATTTTATTGTTTAATTTTATTTGAAGAGATTATTAATTATTTTAGATTTGAAAACTCTAAAAATTATATTTATCAAATTTCATATAAGATTAGTCATGTTCTTTTTATATGTAATTTGTTACAATTTAATTGATTAGTAGATTTGTTTTATGGGTTGATCCTTTACTGCAGTATTGTCAATTAGATATATTGTCACTCTCGGATAGCTCGTAAGGATAGATTAGTTTATTCTTCATTGAAATTAATTTCTCTCAAAATAAATATATTAATTATTATTATGGGTCTTCAAAGCTAAATCTTTCTATTATTTCTTTGGGATGTGAAACATGTAATTGAGTAATAAATAAGAATCAAAATTTATAACCGTTAAACAAATCAATTAACTAAACCCTGAAGTCTTGTTTATCATAATATTGTTTTCAATCCTTTATAATTATCATCTTGTATATGTTAATTTAATTTCTTATTTTGACAACTCTTTTTATTGGTTTAATATAGCTTCCCTATGGATTCGACACCTAAAACTACGCTACAACAATCGCCTAGGCGAAGAGCATTAATTTGAGGAATTTTGGGACGAGACACCAAAATTTGGCACCTTTGTCGGGGAAGCCAAATTTACAATTAGAGTTTGAACATTCTTCACTTTTCTTTTATTTCTTTTATTTGCTTCTTTTGTTTAGTTTATTTTATTTGCTTGCTTTTATTTTATTTTCTTTATTTTTTTAAATGATTAAATCCCCAATTTGGTCCCTGAACTATTGTACGGATCCTCAATTTGATTCCTAAACTAAAAAAATCCCTAATTTGGTCCCTAAACTATTGTACGGACCCCCAATTTGATCCATAAACTAAAAAAATCCTTGATTTGGTCTCTAAACTATTGTACGGACCCCGATTCAGTCCCTATTGTTTACCAATTTACCCTAAGTTGGTCCTTCCATACAAAAACCAACTGACGTGTTTTGTTATTAATAGGTTAAATACCCTTTTTGGTCCCTCTACTATAGGAAAAAGCCCCTTTTTAGTCCTTATACCGAAAAAATCCCCTTTTTGGTCCTTAAAGTTCGAAATCCGACCCCTTTTTGGTCCCTCCGTTAAATTTTAGCTGATGTGGCAAGTTAATTAATGGAAAACCTTTTTTTTTTCTTTACTTAAATTGTGTGAAAAATCCATCTGGCAAAATTTGATGATGTGGCCAATTTTTTTACATAATTGCAATTACAAATATTTTAAAGGTCATTTTGTGGTTAAAGGTACTTAATTTTAATTACGTATTTGCCCTTGTCTTCTTCCTCGTTCTATCTTATTCTCTCTTTCCTCCAGCCTTCATTTTTTTTTTTTTAACCTTTGCCTTATGGAAATCAGATTTGGAAAGGTGAACCCAAGTGCCTGGGTTCGTTGGGTTCGTCATGATTCCAAGCATAAGTTCATCGCGAACCCAGGCAACAAAAGATTAAGTATAGAAGGGATGGTGTTCAGATTGACAAGGTCACTACAAAAGAAGAAGGCACATTGATTGCCATGGCAACATTTGGATCCTTTTTGCACAGCCGAGGCACAAACAAAGCAACACAAATTCACCACATCAGGTTGCCATTTCCATTCTATCAATGAAGTTTGATTTTTGTTGAGCAACAACAATAAGAAAGTATGGTGGAATAAAAAACTTGGCCAAATCGCTCTGAAACCATTTCAAACCCATCCCCAATTTCAAATAGACATGAAAGGCAATGGAGTGAGGAAACGACTGGAGCAATGCTTGAGGAGGAAAGGAGTGGTGAGTGAATGCAATGTCATAGGGTGTTCCTTCGATCTTTGAAATTCCTTGTAGAAGGTTGGATCTGGAGGCTCAATCTCTGCTCTGAACACCATGGAAGTCGCAAACCCTAAGAAACGCAAGCGGGACAACTCCATCGCACTCAACGGTGACAACGACCTTTCTCTCTTGGAAGCCATTAAGAAATCTCAGAGCACCATCGATGTGCTGGACATCTGCACCCTCAAAAAACTAGTCTTCTCCTTCAAGCGTCGATTCAGAAAGAACATCAAGGCTTGCGTCAAGTACCAAAACCAGTTGGAGCACTTTGCGGACTCCGAGGTAGACCTCCATGACGACCTCCGAAAGCTCAAGATCCTCGCTAAAGCCCTCGAGCTATACCCCCGACCTTGTCAATCTGAACACCATCCCTTCTATACTCAATCTTTTGTTGCTTGGGTTCACGATGAACCCCATGCTTGGAATCGCGACGAACCTAGCGAACCTATGCACTTGGGTTTGCCTTCCCAAATCTAATTTCCATAAGGCAAAGGTAAAAAAAAAAAACAAAAACAAAAAATGAAGGTTGGAGGAAGGAGAGAATAAGATAGAATGAGGAAGAAGACAAGGGCAAATACGTAATTAAAATTAAGTACCTTTAACCACAAAATAACCTTTAAAATATTTGTAATGGCAATTATGTAAAAAAATTGGCCACGTCATCAAATTTTGACAGATGGATTTTCCACACAATTTAAGTAAAGAAAAAAAAAAGGTTTTCCGTTAACTAACTTGCCACATCAGCCAAAATTTAACGGGGGGACCAAAAAGGGGTCGGATTTTGAACTTTAAGGACCAAAAAGGGGATTTTTTCGGTATAAGGACTAAAAAGGGGCTTTTTCCTATAGTAGAGGGACCAAAAAGGATATTTAACCTTATTAATATGACACATAATTGTTAAGTTACTATTTTTTGCCATTAAGTTACTATTTTTGACCGTTAAGTAACGGACACGTCAACTATTTTTTGTAAGGAAAGATCAACTTGGGGCAAATTAGTAAATAGTAAGGACCAAATCGGGGGTCCGTACAATAGTTCAGAGACCAAATCAAGTATTTTTTTAGTTTATGGACCAAATTGGGGGTCTGTACATTCGTTTAGGGACCAAATTGGGGGTTTAACAAAAAAAAAAAAAAGATTAGAGTGCATGAATAGACCGAGAGACAAAAAAGGGAGAGTCTAATTCATCCTTTAATTCTGAAACCATGAGTCAAGACAAGGATCAACCTATTAGGACTTTGAAAGACTATTTGCACCCCACTAAAAGGCAAAACCCTCAAATCCACCCTTAAAATATATCGATAGGGACACATCCCCCCTTCAAAAAAATGAAGGGACAAATTGCCCCTCCAAATCATAAATCAATACAAATCACCTCTTTTTTAACGAAAAACGTCAAAATTCTGTTTGCCATGTCAGCATTTTTTAACGGAAAACATTAAAAAAGGGGTGATTTGTATTGATTTATGATTTGGAGGGGCAATTGGTCCCTTTATTTTTTGAGGGGTAGATGTGTCCCCGCTGATATTTTTTAAGGTTGGATTTGAGGGTGTTGCCCCACTAAAACAATTGCACCATCATGTATAATGTTTCCTCCTAATACACCACACTTTGAGTTCAAACTCAGAATGATTTAGCTTTTGCCTAGTTTTCATGGTTTAGAGAATGAAAATCCATATGTGCATGTTAGGGAGTTTGAGGAGGTAGTAGCTAGTTTTCATAGTTGAGTTGATATTATAGATACAGTTAGGTTGAAATTCTTTCCCTTCTCCTTGAAAGACAAAGCTAAAATTTGGTTATATTATTTGGGATCGAGATCTATCGGTACATCGGCAGAGATGACTCAAGCTTTCTTTAACAAGTACTTTCCGCATCATAAGACTAATAATTTTAAAAGACAAATCTCCACATTTTCTCAAAACAATTGTGAAACTTTATACCAAGCATGGGAGTAGTTTAAAGAATTACAAAACTTGTGTCCACATCATGGGTATGAAACTTGGAGGTTGGTTAGTTATTTCTATGAGGAGTTTAACTAGTAGGGAACGTCAATTCATAAAGATGATGTGTCATGGGGAGCTTATGGATAAAGACCGAGAAGAAGCTATAGATTATTTAAATGTGTTAGCAAAAAAAGCTCATACTTAGACAGCACCTAATGCCATTGATAGTACTAGTAGGTCATGATCATTTGGGATTTACCACCTTAGGGAAATAGATAACCTTAAAGCTCAATTAGAAGTAGTAACTAGGCAACTTGAGACCTTAAAAATGAAAAATAGAGTCACCCACACAGGCTCCATGTTTTGTTTGTGGGGGATTGGATCATTTAGCTCAAGATCGTCTAACCTATGGTGAGATGAGAAGGGTTTATGAAGAACAATGCAATGCATTAGGAATGGTTAGGGAACCTTTTTCACCTTTCTCAGAAATGTACAATCTTAGTTGGAGGAACCATCCCAATTTTAGTTAGAAGACTTATTAGAACCATCTTACATCCTCAAACAATACTTGGAATAGTGAAGCTCAACCACTTAGGTCTTACCCTACACCTCAATACAATGCACGACCAAAGAGGAATCCTTTAGAAGAAACACTTAAGGCATTTATAGAGGCACAAAATAAGACTTACCAAAGATTTGATTCTATTCTTACACAGGTGGTTGAAGAAAACAAAGATATTAAGAGTCAACTAACTAAGTTGACCAATGCTCTTATTATCCAAGAGCGACGTAAGATTCCATCTCAACCTCAAGGTAATCCTAAAAATTTACATTTGGTGCAGGAATCTACCTTTAATTCAGAGAACATTAAATGGGTCAATGCTATCACTACTTGTACTGGTAAGGTTATAAAGCCGTTGCAAAAATCACCTCAATTGAAGGATGTTACTCCAAGTAGCCATGAAGATGACTTGTTGAAAGAACTTGAGAAAGAGGTTCCAATTCTAGTTCCTTTTCTTCAAGCTCTTAGAACTGGAAAGATTTCAAACAACCAAGATGAGATTTTAGAACATTTGAAACAAGTTAAAATTAATCTACCTTTGTTGCATGTGATTGAATAGGTACCAACTTATGCCAAGGTAATCAAAGATCTATGCACCATGAAAAGGAAACACCATGTCAAGAAAGCTGCATTCTTGACAGAACAAGTAAGTGTGGTGATTAAGCAAAAAGCACCACTAAAGTATAAAGATGCAAGGTGCCCAACAATTTCTTGTCAAATTGGGTCACAAGAGTTTTGTCAAGCTCTTTTGGATTTAGGAGCAAGTGTGAATTTAATGCCTTATTCAGTTTATTTGCAACTAGGTCTTGGAGAGATAAAACCCATATCTGTAGTGTTACAATTGGTTGATCGTTCTTGTAGGAAACCAAGAGGGATAGTAGAAGATGTTTTGCTTCAGATTGATAAATTTTATTATCTTGTTGATTTTCTTGTTTTAGATACTTAATCTGAAGATAACAGTGAGTCAAAGTCTCCATTTATTTTAGGAAGACCATTTCTTGCTACTGCTAATGCTCTCATTTGGATGCCAACTTTTTGAACTATCCTGTTAATGATCATTCTAATGTTTCTTTTATTTCTCAGGTTATGCAGGATAAATACAAAAATTTTATAGCCACGCTTTGAGGAGTTGTTATATAATAAGAAACATTTGAAGCCATTTTCAATGAAGATGCCAAGCATAGAGTTATCCCCACCTTTTGAAGGATTGAAGCATGCATTCTTGGAAGAGTCTTCCAAATTATTGGACAATGGTTGAGACATTATATGGAGCAAGTAAACCAATCTGAGGAGATCATTCTTGTGGCTCCCGTCTATGACGCTTAATCAGGTTCTATCTTTCCATCGTATCATTTTTTCTTTTGTTTGTTTTTGTTTTTCATAGCTTTTCTTTTATTAATTTTTCTTTTATTAGTTTTTTAGGT